ACAATTTTAAGACCGTTATTAGTACATTATTGGTACATTTTTAGATACACGTTTAGAGTTTAGTACTGGTAAATTTGAATGCAATTTTAAGGTAATTTACTTTAAGTAAGAAAAGTTGAAGACAGTTAAAATCAAATTTTTAAATTGTTTTATAGTTTTTGTTCAAAAAGTTTTTATGTGTAATAATAACAGTTTTAAAAACATTTCTTATATAATAATTGTCTATGAACAATTTAGATAGTTTCAGTACATTTTTGGAAAATAAATAAAGGTTTAACAATAATAAAAAATTACAAAATAAGCTTTTTAGGCAAACTTTAATTTAGGGACCATATTTTAAGAAATATAGTTTTAGAATACATTTTAGACAGTTTTAATATTTTAGTTGAAAAAAAAATTTTCTTTTTTATATTTTTTTATAAAATTAATAAATCTATTGGTTTGTTTTGTATTGAATATTTTTATTTTACAGAAGGTGACTTTTATGAAAGCATTTAAATAAATTTTTATTATTTAAAAGCGATAAAATAACCTTTATTCGAAACCAGGTCGAAAGGAAAGGGTTTAATGAAAATTTATAGCGACAATTTTACGAGAGACACTAAAAACCCGACTCTAAAAACACGTAAAATCAATACGCGAAAATCATGCATGTCGATTTTTTGCCGGGCACTCGCCTTAAGCCTCTTGATTAAATCAAAAAGTCCAATAAATTATTTTTTAATTAAATTCGCGCCGGTTGTGTCGCTGACCGTAAATAAGGACTTCAAGCATACTTAAAGGACTTAAAATTATAGAACTTTCCGCATGGAGATTTCAGTTTATAAAACGATTTCGTCGCGCCTTTTTCCTTTCCCCTCATTCCATTAATACATCCAACGATACTTAAATCTACTTCCATTGTACTTCACTCTATAACACTCAAACGTAATATCATAAGGCAAAAAGAAAATGAAGACTAACTTGCGGAAACTTTTAATATTTTTAGAAATTATTTAGGCAAAATTACTGAAAATAATCGTATTAAAGTCTATACATTTAATAATAATTTTATAGAGGTTTGTACTATATAATTTACTACTTAATTAGTCCCTATATTAAAGGACATTTTTATACAATTTTAAGTAAAAGGTCAGTTTTATTATTACTGTTCTATTGAGATTTATGCATACAGTCTTAAGCTAGTTTTGGTATATTTTTGTACAGCAAAAGTTTTTACAATATTGATAATTTTATACTATTGGTACTATTTTTGTTACTTTAAGACAGGTTTAGTACTATTTTGTATATTTTTATACAGTGGGACAGATTTATACGGCATAATACTAGTGTTTTAACAGTTTTAAGACAATTTTCTAAAGGATTTTTAGTGTTTTGATAAAATCTTATGGTTGGTACAACAAATATTTTAATACAGCAAGAGTTTTAGCACATTAAAATACAGTTTAATACAGTATTGTTGGTATTTTGGATTAACAGCATAAAGCAGTTTATTACTAGTAAATTTATAGAGAGATGTATACAGCATAGAACTACAATTTTTGGTACAGTCTTAAGGTAGTTTAAAGGTTTAGAACTATTTTTGGTATATTTTAATATAGGATTATTTTTGGTACAGTTTAAAAATTATTTTTATACAATTTTCGTACTGTAGAGCAGTTTTAAAAGACCTTTTGAGCTATTTTTATATGCTTTAACAGTTTTAAGTTTTATAAAAGAGTTTTTTATGCAATTTAAAGATTTCTTACTATTTTTTGTACATTTTTATACAGCGTTTTAGTACATTGGTAAAAAAATTAATACAGTATTTTAAATATAGTTTTAAGACAATTTATAAACAATTTTGAATTAGCAGCATAGAGCAGATTTAAAAAGTTTTGACTATTTTTAGGCAGTTTATTACTAGTAAATTTATGGACTGATTTATATAGCATAGTACAACTATTTTTGGTACAGTTAAGACAAGAACATTGTTTATACAGTTTTAAGATTTAGTACTATTTTGGTATATCATAAATCCATTAGTGGAGAGTTTTATACAGTATTATTTTTGCCACAGTAAGACACTTCAAAAAATGTTATATAATTTTTGGACTATAGAGCTGTTTTAATAAAACATCCTCTTGAATACCACCTCATTGAGAAATGCCATTTGTACCTGAAGACCTTTATCATCCGTCTTTAAATATATATATATAATAATAATAATAATAATAATAATAATAATAATAATAATATATAACAGTTAATATTAGTATTCAATGAATACTATTCATACACAAAGCACCAAATTTCCATTAAGTAACAATAAAAAATATAATTTTAAAAAGGCTTACTTTATTAATCTATATATATATATATATATATATATATATATATATATATATATATATATATATATATATATATATATATCAAGACCTTCTTAATACTAACTGAGATTTCTTAACCCAATGCTTCGATGTTGACATAATGGTAAACTCAAAGTAAAACTCCGAATAAAGCTTTTCCTACTTGGTTTACCAAAGAAATTAAAACTTACCTTAAAACAAATGAAATGGCTTCAAACAAGCAAACTTTCTTTCTTCTCGAATATAAACGACTTCGTACCCAAACCAAAAATCAAATTAATAATGCCTATAATAACTATATTTACACATTTAGGACAGTGTTTATACAGTGTTTAGGACATTGCATATTTTATACTCAAGTTAATTAGGTACAATTTTAAAACACTAAAATTATATCACAAAATAAAATTCCCAACAAAAAAATAATAATTATAGGTGCCTACTTTAATAAAAGTCATTAATTTGTCAATTTCTTAGATCATTCTTCATGGCTTCCCAAAATCAATCGGTATAGTAGAGTCGTTTCTATATAATGCAAGTAATTAACATTCGGTATTTGCATTCTGTCTGCATGCTAGCCAACTTAAATTCTGGTGAATTAATTTAATTGGAGGTTGCGGCACCGCTTTCAAAGTGTAGAAGGCATCTCGCCCATCCCTGTGTCTCGCACAGGGGGCATATCTAAGGCATCCTGCACACAAAGCGTAAAAGAGCACGGAGTAAGGCGCATAATTCGGGCGTTCATAGAAATTCTGTTTAGCTACTATGGTGCAACAAGCCCCCAATGAATGAGTATTAACATTTAATAAACAAATTAATTGCGAATAAGGGCCTGATTATTTGCAGTCTAAGACGAATTTAATAGGTATTATAGTGGATTATCAAACGAAATACTCAATTAACAATTTAGATGCGTTTCACGTAATGTGAATATTACAACAAAATATTGCCTTGAAAAACGTACGTATATTCCAGATTATTTTAAACATAAAAGTCGAATCTGTCAAAATAATGTTATATTTAATTTGATTTAAAATATTCAAATTAATAATAGTATATTAGGTATCAAGTTTGATAAACGACACTCTAGTTACGAATTTAATTTAGGTACGAGGTTGCAAACGACAAACAAGTTGCATCCAATCTTTTTTCTACTACAAATACTTAATATTATCTAAAACATTATTTAAATTAAATATTTATTTAAAGCGACATCTATTCGAAAATAAAGTTACCATCCCAATAAACATTTTAGTCGTAATTTTTACCATTAACATTGTCTGTTATTATTTTTATTAAACTTAACAATTGAAGCGTGGTAATTAAAAAGCGTCTAAGTGCCACTGCAGTGCTAAACAAAAAGGTGGTAACTAATGCATTACTTTATATTGCAATATATGTTAATACATTTGTGCTTTGTACGGCAGCGGCACTAAGACGTTTTTGAATTACCAAGCTTCAATTATTGATACTTTAAAATATTAAAATAACTTCAAAATATGATTAGGTTAAGAAAATAGTCACTTTTAAGTTAGCCTTCCTTAACTTATGTTTAAGATAAATGTTAGCTAAGATTAGTTTTACTTAAGCTAAGACAACTTTTATTAAAATTAAAATATATTTAAGTATACTTATAAAGTTAATATTAGTGCATTAAAAACAAGTTTAAAATTAATAATAAAAAATCAACTTTTATATTTTTACTTAAAATGAATTTTGTGAAAAACAGCCCTGGCAAATTACACTGTAGAGAGGTGAAAATATCACAGCTAAATGCTCGAACACGTAAACTTAATTTTTGGTCGTATATTACAAATCCGTGCTTGGTTTTGTATAAGGTCAAAATTCAAAGATATTGGAAACACCCTGTATAAATTTAACTAAAAATTCAATTTGGCTGGACCCACATATCAGTTTCAAATTAAAAAAAATTAAATCTTCTTAGATAATTTAGGAAATTCAAAATGATTTTTGTTGATTTTTTTTTATTGAGCATATTATTATTTTATTAAACAAAATAAAAAGGATGGGAATGTTGGCAGAAGAGGTGAAATATATTATTTTAAAAATTATATTATATTAGTAAACAGTGTGTCTCCGGATCGGATTGCCAATGGAAAAAAACTTGTTTAGACCTGATACAGCTAAACCGAGCACGGGTTTGGAATCTATGACCAAAAATTATGTTTACGTGTCCGAGCGTTTAGCTGTGATATTTCAAGAGTTGAAAATTTACCTACAGTTTTATTTTTGCTAAAGAAAATAATTTATTGGGGCATATTATAATTTAGGTTATAGGTAATAAATATTTTAGTTTTTAGAGTAATTTTAACCTAAACCTTATACAAATTGAACCAAAACTAATACAAACTAACATATTTCAAACAAAAATTATTAACATAATTAACAATATTTTTTACTTGGATCGACTTTTGAGGAATTGAGTTATTATGATTTTAGTTACCTATTTTAAGTTAATTTGCTTCACCACAATAAAATATACTAAATTTAGACCCCTATAGGGTATTTTTTTTAAATCAAATTTCCTTAAAGGGATGTCCTATGACCTATTTTAATTTTGGTTTTAGTTTTTGACATTTACATGTTATAATTTTAAATCTTATAACTAACATTATTTTCTTGTTCCAGAGACAGGGTTGTATTCACGGCGAAGAGCTCCCCTACCTATTCGGCGCCCCGCTCGTCGGAGGCTTTATGCACTTCGTGAAAAACTACACCAAATCGGAGATGGCGCTGTCGGAAACCACTATGATCTATTGGAGCAATTTTGCGAGAACCGGGTGAGTTTTTTCGTAATTTTTTTGAACGTCGTCAAATATTTGCCGTTATTTGCCATGCGTAGGTAATTTTTCAAGACCCAACATCAACTAATTGAATAAGTACCTAGTTTGTAATTATAACAAAAATTTTCTGGATTTAATAACAAAATCCTACATCAATAATTCAACCATATTTCTTGTAATTCTTATTTTTACAAACCTTTTTGTATACCCAGTAAATTGGAAATTTAAATGAAAAGAATTTTGATAAAGAATGTTGCTTTATTAATCAATTTAATAAACAAAAAAATAAACACATACCTACATATATATAAATGAATTTGTTGGAAATTGTAAATTTAAATGAAAAGAATTTTGGTAAAAAATGTTACTTTGATACAATACATACCTAAATGATCACAAAAAATAACATACACACCATTCTAAAATAATTAAATTATAAAGAAATTTGAGACAATAAAATTATCGGTACTACTTCTCACTGATTTATTTCGTAACTTTAACCCACTTCACTGTATCCCCTAATTTCAGTTTAAAAAACCAATGATAGCATCTTTTTTCGGATACTTCGTTAAAAGGGTATAAGGAATCCAAATAAAAAAATAACGGATTTCTAGTTGTTAAGAACACGTTACGAATTAGAATAAAGTAAGCAGAAACATAAGTTGCAGACGCTGAAATCACGAGTACTTTTTTAACGAAATAATTTGTTAACATTAATAAAATAATCTGTAACCTTTGAAATTAACAAAATGCTTACAAAATTGCATATTACCTTTACGAAACTTTGGGTAAAATATTTTCCTTTATTAAACTACAAACTCATGTTAAAAAATCTGTTATTGTTATTATTATTATTATTATTATTATTATTATTATTATTATTATTATTATTATTATTATTATTATTATTATTATTATTATTATTATTATTATTATTATTATTATTATTATTATTATTATTATTAATATAACAGTGTAAGGGGGATTAAATTAAATATTTAATGCTTAAGTAACAGAAATTAACAGCAATTTTGGCACATTTGTGTTTATAAAAAATAATTCATTTATTACCTGAAATGTTATTTTTCAGAAATCCTAACGAGCCTTCAGAGGGGAGACAGGAAAGGAGCAGATTTAAAAATGTCGAGTGGACAGCTTACGAGGCTGTACATAAAAAATACCTTAACTTAGGTAAGCAAACATTATTATTCTTTTATGCAGATAAATTTATATAGATTTATTTTTGCACCGTTTGCAGATTTTAAGTTTAGCAGATATTTTATTACCTAAAAGTATGTATAAAAAAATATTGATTTTTACAATGTACATACAAGGGGTGTTTATTTGCGACTATAATTTCTACAGAGACAACCTAAAATAAAGAACGTTGTATTAAAGTATTTGATGCGTTGCAAAAACCCAAAGCAAAGATCAAAGAAGAAAATCAATTATTAAAGAGCAAACAAAATTACTTCGTCGATAATTAGAAGCTTAGTTTCTTGCAGACGAACGCTGTGCGCCGCAATAATGAAATAACGGGCGTGGCCATGGACGACAATAGGCAGAATGTAACTGCTTTATATGCGTAAAGGGATTTCGATTGTCTCCTTTGTAGGTGAAAATGTTATTCAAACATGCTACGTAGTTTTCGTCGAAAAGGTATATTACCACCCTCGAGAGCTCACTCTTTGACAAAAACACATCCTAAACTTTTCATGTCTAACTAAACTCAAGCTTTGGAATTTAAGTTCAATAAAATTAAAAATTTAAAAGAACGTTTTGGATTTGAGTTTATTTAGTTAGATTTGTGATACATACAGGGTGTCTATTAAAAACGAGCAATGCTCTTATAAGTCTGGACCTAAAAACGATATCAAATATTTCTCAAAACCTTTTCTAGGATATGTGGGGAAAACTTGTTACTACTCTCTAAATCTGAATTAGTGAAAAGTCACTGTTTGGCAGTAAATATTCACTGTTTAAAATAGTTAAAAGTATACCACTGTCAATTAGTGAATAATCACTATTTCAAATAGTGACTAAATCGCTTATTGAAATACTGACCGAATCACTACTGCAAATAGTGACTACTCACTTATTTAAGAAGTGGCTAGTCTCTTATTAAATTAGTGACCTAGTCACTAGTTAAAATAGTGGAATTTTTACATGATTAATTAGGGAAGCAAAATAGTATTCAGGAATCCTATGAAATGAATAAGAAACATGTTAATTATAAAATTTAGTACGTTTATTGTTTATTTAAATTGTCAAGTTTTCAAGATATAATAAAAAAGGTGGGAAGAAATTTTAAAAATAACACATTTAAAACAGAAAATAACGCTTTATCATTATCCTCCTTATCATGCATCGTCATTAGGATTAAAATTCGAAATATTTATGTGGACAGAAGACACAATATAAAGCAAGGTCTACAATTGTCGCAGGTCGCAGATCGCAAAACATAAGCTTGCGCAAAGCACCCAGCTGACAAAAGAACCTTGTTCGACGCGTCGCGCAGTGCTTTGCGGCGCAAAGTTTGCGCAAGTATCTCATAAACGTGAGATTCAATAAAGTTATAAAAATTACGTAAGCTTTCTGGGTATTTTATGTTTAAAACATAGAAAAACTGGAAACTGAAGAAATTTATTTGGAAATTCAATTTTTAAAGGCCTGTTTTCTTCCTCATCTTCAAGCTTATATTCAGTGTAATCTTCTTTAATTTTCCTTTTTTTCTTTACATTTTCCTTTACCTTTAACCGTTTTTCTTGCGTTTGACACTGGGAGTAGTTCAATGAGAAGTAGTAAAGCTCGCAAGTTTTCTATAAGACAAATCAGTAATTTAAAATTCAAGAAAAATCTTACGGTCATAAATGATTTGAGAAGTCCTGTGCAACGCTGGACGATATTTTTTAACATACGCCAAAATTTGAGGTGTATAAAAGGTTGGAAATTTACCCAAGAATTGGTCCTTTGACTTGAAATTGAAAATTACAAATATTAATAGATACCAAAAATATATAAAAAAAATATATATATATATTATAATCCAATAATCTAGGATATTCATTTAACACTCTGGAAATGGTTGGGTTTGCACTGCATATCCAATTTCTGCGGTAACGAGTTGTTGGCTTTTTAACATAAAGGTATAATAAGTACGCATTAAAATTTTGCTTGTGATTTATTTTAATTTGTTAATACAGTTTTAAAAACGTTAAATGCACAAAAAAAATCCGGTTAAGCCGGCAAAAAGAAAAACAATGTCATAACCTCACTTTTTTTTAAATAAATTAGCCAAACTGAGTTGGATAGTATACAAACTATCCAGCTATTTTATTTTCCCCAATAATTTCAAGTAAATTAGCCAAGATCCTTGGTTATTTTTTAAACTAGCCGCTAATTTAGTTGAAAATACGTTTTCAAATATCTGACAGTTTGGCTAGTTTATAAACTATCCAAGTTTGCACATTAGCCGTAACATATATAATTAATAATTTACTCTGCATTGATGGAAATATGATTAAACGAATATTATTAACTTACCTAATAAAAGATAATGTTTAATTATTTTATTATTATATACTCATACGCGCTGGAACGTGCTGGCTAGGTTGACAAGTATAGTAAGTAAAAAAACTGCTGGGAGGCGCCACTAGCGATACGGCTTTAATCGGGGGACTCACTATTCTGGCAGTGACAGTAATTTGAGTTCACTATTTTGAGAGTGAATTTAGACGTCACTATCTTGAATAGTGAAACTTTCACTATTTCAGTTTTAGAGAGTACGATATCAATTATTTCTAAGCCAACTTTTTCGAACATTAGATTTAAAAATTATGGAAAAATTGCAAATTTAAGCGTCCTGAAGAATTGTAAAACGTTTAAATTTTGCAACCAGCTCTTTAACATATTTATGACGCACGTTTTTGCCAGGGTTTAGTTCATTAAATGCCACTGCAGTTCATAGAGCACAAAAATTTTAAACACCATAAATAAAAATAATTTTAACACGTTCAGCCGTTGTGTAAACCATTTTGGAAAACAAACAATACTATTTAAAAAATTAAAACCAATCAGCATGAATTGCAGTCTTTTTGTACGTTTTTATAAACCTGATACAAAAAATCCACCAAAAACATACACATTCCATTGAGGATTTAAATTGTTCAATACAATATATTTTGCGACAAAAATTTCAAAATAATAAAAGACTGTTTAAAAATAGACTCATGGGAGTTATTTTCTGCATTTAATTTAAAAATCTAAAAACTAAATTGTTTTGATTATTGCTGAACAATTTGTTTATTTATGGGTTTTTTTAGTTTATTATACTTTTGTTAGAATTATTTTGTTTTCCAGTTCTTGGTTTAATTTGATGTTTATAACGAGAAATTGTAATAAATAAATAAAAATTATTTTGCGTATTTTTCAAAAATTAAACTATTAAAAAGTATTTTTTTAGTACTCTTAAGTAGCAATTTTCAAGAGCTTTCCAATGAGATATCATAAAGATAATGTTGCCATTTAAAAAAAATTGAGTTGGCTATAGTATAGGTCATTTTTGTGGTCATACTGATTCTCTCCACATTTACTAGAAATGATTTTAAGAAATTTTTGATATATATTTTTAGGTCCAGACTTATAGAGCATTACTTGTTTTTTTCAAAAAATGTAAAATACAAACTTGTAGAAAATTTAATTTTCTTTAAAAAAGGTCTTATCAGTTGAATCGCTAAGATTGATATTTGTTGAGATATAAAGCGTTTACATTGACATTTTATGAAATTTTTCAGCATTTTCGCACCAAACTTTTTATAAATGATGATTACGTTTTTCTACAGTCGGGTGATAAAAAGTTTGGTACGAAAATCCTCAAAAGTTTCATAAAATGTCAATGTAAACGCTTTATATCTAAACAAATATCAATCTTGTCGATTCAACTGATAAGACCTTTCTAAAGAAAATTAAATTTTCTACAAGTTTGTCCTTTATATTTTTTCAATGAATCCAGTCACTTTTGAAATATATTCAAAAATATGAGAATTTTTCGCAAAAATTAGATTTAGTGACCCGTACCATCCTACAGGTCCAGATTACAGCTATGGCACATAAAGCATTTTTGTAGAACTTTTTATTACGAGTAAATTCCTTTTTTGAAACAATTCAATGGCATAAAATGCAGCTGAGATATAGATATTTAAAAAAAAAATTTACGTGTATTTTAAATGGGAAATCTTTATACGCTTTGGGAGAGTACTTAGAGTAATATTAAGGGCTCAAATTTTTTTTTGAACATTTTTTACAAGATTTTGAGTAGTAGTATACTAATAGCAAGGAGGGGCAGCCGCCATATTGGATTTAGTATGACGAAACTATCCTTATCGTTTTCAACTCGACAAACCCTTTCATTTGATCCACATAAAGGATTTGTAAATTGGAGTGGCATTTTGAACAACTTACAATATTAAGCATACTAGATTGTATTGTAACCAGCACCAAAAGTGTGTGCAAAATTTCAGCTAAATCCATTTGGGGAAGTAGGTTAAAATCGAATTTCAAAATTTTTTTTACAGAGTTGATCAAAATCAAATTTGTGGCCTATAAGAAAAAAAGTTGAAGTAAATTTTGTGGGTGTTTTAAAGACAACTTTTTTAATTACAGCGCTGCGTTAAAAAAACTTTTTGGGTAAAAAAAAATAGACCCAATGATGCCTGCAACATTTAATGTTTGTAATTTTATTTTTTAAGCTTAGCGTTTTCTATAGAAATATGAAAATAAAATACAAAAAAATGATTTTTTACTTTCATCCGTAGGGGTTAGCATCCCGCAAAGTTGGGGTTAAGCTTTTCTTATGAGCCCCAAACGATTCATTCAAAAAAATGTTTGTGGTAATTTTTATTCCGAAAGGTTAATTTTTTTCTATTTTTACACCAGTGTTAAATTTAATTAATTCAAGTTAGAGGGCTAAAATAGAATTAAAGAATTAAAACTGAAGACGACCTTTTTTGCCTTTTAGTCTTTCGAAGTTATTTTCACGAAAGATTAATTTGAATTTTTAAAAAGTAAAATAAACACAGGCGGGAAATGCAAATTCTTATTCTGGATGCTCTTTAAAAACACTTGAGCGAACCGCTTGCTATAAACATGGCCGGGAAATGCGACAAAACCAATGGGCCGATGAAGAGAAAACT